TGCACAATGGACATCTAATGGACATCTGAGGTTAGAGCTTTGCTCTGAAACCATTAGCTTATAAAAAATTCCCTGGTGTGTGTGTTTGTGTGTTTAGTGTGTGCATGACTGTTTAATGGGTGGTTTTTTTTTTTTTTCTGTTCTAATTTTCTCTTTCTCTTAAGTAAATAATTAGAATTTTTAATTCTTGAATAATGTCAAAGTCCAATCCATTTGGGGAAGGCCTTCAGTTTGTTGTGAACTAAAATTGTTTAAAACAATGCAAAACCTAAACATGTGTTCATCGATACATATAATGTATTCATCAATATATAAAAAAAAAAATTGCATTGTTTATAATGGTAAATAATGCTAAACACATTTGCTTGCATGCCATGTTGGGAGCTCCTAAATCAAACACAGTACTGTACAAAAGTCTTGAGTCTTGATAGTTTTATATATATTTTGTCTACAAAAAAATTTTTAAAAATTATATTTTATCCCAATAAATAGTTTTTTGAGTGACATTCATGCATGAATGATGTTAATCTTAATGAACCTGTGTTGGGATGTTTGAGAAAAAGAAAAAAACTTTTCAAAAGCAAATTTTTACCTGGCTCTGCAGACACTTTGCAGAGAGTGGTGAAGGCTGCACAAAAGACTGTCGGAGTCAGCCTCCCCACCATCACAGACATCTACACCTCTAGATGCAGGAAGAGGGCCACCTGCATCATGAAGGACCTCACTCACCCAGCACACACTTTTTGCCCCACTCCCCTCAGGAAGGAGGTTGAGGAGCATTAAGTGTAGAACCACTAGACTGAGGAACAGCTTCTACCCTGAGGCTGTTAGACTCATGAATCTCTAACTAGAATAATCACTGTGAAAAACCGCATCATGTTGCTGCTGATCTGTTTCATGTTGCTGCTGATCTGTTTCAATGTTGATGTGTTCATGCGTGCACATCCGCTCACACAGACTCATGTTCATGTTTGTGCTGATGTTCAATGTTTTTATGTTATGAGTGCTTAGTGTATATTTAGTTGATGTTTTTCTTAGTTCATATGTTAGATGCTATTACTGTTTTTCTTATACAGTTTATTGTTGGATGTAACTGGGACCCTGTGTACATAATTTCGCTCCACCACATGTACCACATGAGGTGCGAATGACAATAAAGAATCTCTGACTCTGACTCTGACTTTGTTATCAATAGCTTGTCACAAAGGCACAATGTAATCCCTTTTTTGTTAAAACTATCATTAAAAAAAAACACCAAAGATTAAACAGATCAATCACCCATCTAGCCGTTCTCTGCTGCTTCTTCTAAAAGTGGTTGGGGCCGATAGTTTGAGCAGGGAGTCCCAGACCTCTCTTTCCACAGCCACCTCTTCCAAGGGGTTCCCGGGGCAGGTGTTCTTGAGAGAGACACTGTTTCTCCAGCCTGTCCTGGGTTTTCCTTGGGGTCTCCTTGCAGTTGGATATGACTGGAAAACCTCCCTAGGGTGGCATTCAGGGGCCATTCTTACGACATGTCCGAACCACCTCAACTGGCTCCTCTCGATGTGGAGGAGCAGTGGCTCTACTCTGAGTCACTCTCAGATAACTGAGATACTGATGGTTTGCCAAAATCTTCTTGGAACTAATCGAGAGTCTCTATCCAAGGCTCACTAAACTCCTCCCACATCTGACTTTTTGCATCTGCAACATTTAAGACTGCAGCCCACCTATACGTCTCAGCTGCCTCTGGAGTCCTACCAGCTAACAAGGCCAGATAGGACACCTCCTTCATCTTGACGGTCTCCTTCAACCAAGGTGCCCACCACTGGGTTTGAGGATGGCTGCTGTGAGCAGAGCTTTGATAAGCCAGGGTCAGAGCTCCAAGGCCCTCACCTTCGGCTCCTGCCCATAGCAGCATGCAGCTGAGGCGTACAGCCTCTCTGGTGGGCCCACGGGAGAGCAAACCCATATAACTCATTTGGGCTGAGCCTGATCAGGCCCCATGGGTAGAGAACCAGTCACCAGGCGCTCACCAATGACCTGCTTCCTCAGGCCTGGCTTCAGGGTGGGGCCATGGTAACTCATATCTGGGCAAGGGACAATGAGGTCCTTTTTGTCTTCTGTACATATGAGTATTCTGAATTGCTCTGTCTGGCTTGTCACCTACAGTAGAACCAACCAACAGGCATACAAACTTCACCACCACACTAAGGTGTATTATTTATGAGTGGTATTTATGCATTTATGTACAAACAAGATTTAGATATGGTGCAGTAGGTAAGTATAGAAATAACAGTCTGACAAAAACATTACAAATTACTACACATTTCTTAGCAGCAAATACAATTATTCACCATACTGGCTGTAGAAAAGTCGTAAAGTGCTTGAGTCTGAGCTGATTCAAGACTGACATTAAAAGTTAACATTTCTGTAATCATCCATCTAGCACTCTGCACTACATTTGCGGTTTGCTAACAGGAAGAGACTGTCTGTGGGGGTTGCTCATGGCTGATCTGTGGCAGTGCTTTTAAAGAGGTCTGAAGCGTGACATCATTACAAACGTTACAAGTGCATCATTTGGTGCAGTAGAATATGACTGTTGGTGGAGCAACAACCAAATCAGGATGTACTTAAATATAAACTCTTATTTTTCTAATGATTCAACCCAATTGATATGTTTACTGTGGCTCAGATACCCAATTATACCACGTGAGCATGTAGGAGTATGTAAGGCGTTTCCTGTTAGAAATTTTCCATCCTGTTGGTTACTGGGGAGAGAAACCTAGTACAAATTGATCTCAACTACAACAACCAGGATTTTATCATTTAAAATTTAAAATAAAAATTACAAAAGAGGATGAAAGACCAAGATAATGGATATCTTGGAGAAAAAAAATCTTTGTGCCTTCCGCAAACAATTTAGGGTTACATGTTTAAACTATATAGTTTAACCCCACGAGTAATACTTTTACGATGGATTGTTTTTTTTTCCTTAATACACAACTTTTTATGTGGAAATAATGACTATCAAGAGGAAACGTAGAAAGAAGGGACTAAGTGTTGAATGTATTTGAAATATACAGAAACACACAACTTATTCCAAAATAATAGAGAAAAGTTACAGTGCTTTGAAAAATATTTTACCCCTTACAAATGTCTTCGTTTTTTGTTTTTATTCTGTCACTCTTGCATGTTCCTGACCATTAAACAAATGTCAATAACAGACACAGATAACCTGTGTAAATACAAAATGCATGTTTTCATGGTGTTTTCATTTCTCACAGTAAAAAATCTATTCAAACCAACCTGGCCCTATGTGAAAAAGCAATTGTCCCCTAAAACTAATACCTTGTTGAGCTTGGTGGCAACAACTGCAGTCCAGTGTTTGAGGGAACTGGCAGACGGGCTTTCACATGGCTGTGGAGGATATTTGCTGCTGTGATTCAGATCATCGTCCTGCTGCAGAACCTGGTTCATCTGGAGCTTAAGATGGCAAACTGATGAACAAACATCTCCAGGATCTTCTAATAGAGAGGAGAATTCATAGTTTCATCAATTACAGCAGGTTTTCCAGGTCCTAAAGTAGCAAAGCTGTCACAAACCATTATACTACCACCACCATGCTTGACTGTTGGTGTGATGTTTTTTGTTTTTTAGATGAAATGTCAGTTTTACACCAGATGAAGAAGCACACCTGCCAAAAATATCTACTTTTGTCAGTTCACTGAATACTTTACAAAAGGTCTTGGGGTTCATCAAGATGTTTTGACAAATGTGCGTCTGGCCTTTCAGTTAGCACTGGCTTTGGCCTTAGAATTTTCCCCTGGACGGCCATTTTTGCCCTTCATCTTCTTATTGGTAATATGTGAACTCTGACCTCAACCGAGGCAAGTGAGGCCTGCAGGGCTACAGTTAGATAGTTCTGGGTTATCCTGAGGCCTTGCAAGGTTGCCAGATAAGACATAACAAGCCATCATACAGGTAATTTAAAAATCATATTTTCATCTATTTTATTGTATGGGTAAATGGGTGGTTTATTAATTTAATGTAGAAGTGACTGTAAATTTCCATTCGTGTTTGGGCCCCTGAATGCACCTATGCTCAGTTTCTCCACTTTCAGTTTTCAGTGTGGTTTGGCTCATTAGTGTATATAAGCACCAGGTATGCACGCCAATCATTTGATTTTCCAGGGCGTTGCCTGTTTGGTCCATTGCTGCGTGCAGTTGCAGGTGTGAGTGCTGGCACCGTGCTCATCAGGCATTGTAACAAGCCCTGAATCACAAGTGAATCCCTTAACATATCACTTAATACATCACCTTACATACACACAGCACGCTACATACATACTTTACGTAGACACATTTTGGCCAAATTTTTCATTCATAAATGTAAATTTACTAACAAAACGCCTTGCTTTCTTCATTTTATTAAGGATGTGGAACTATATGTAAAGTTAATAGCGGACTCCACCAACAAAAAGGCCCTTAGGGCAATTTATATCTGTAAATCTTTGCAAATATTTGTTTAAAAATCACACCCCTGGTTGTTTGTTCATATAAGTGTTGCGTTCGTCTTATACTCCATTCATTTGTTTGTTGCATACTTATTGTTTGCTTTAATAAAGATTTATTTAAAAAAAATTAAAACAATTTACATAGACACATAAACATATCTTTGGCACTAACGGAACCTCAGATCAGTGCACAAATTAGGAACGCGATATTTTTGTTTTTAAATGTATGTGTTCAAACAAAACGCTAGTCCGTGTCTGGTTATCGAAATTTCGTGGAACCTGAACGCACCGCACTCAGCTTCCGGTCTTGTCCGCGCCGTAAAACTCGCCGTGTTTGTCTCGTCGTTGTGTCTACACCTTTAATTTTCCGGCCCAGCCATGCAAGGAGTGGCCTTTAGCAGAAACCGGAGCAGGCGGATCAGAATCAGCCTGAACATTTGAATTTTCCGAAGGTTCACATCGTCTCTGGGAGTTCATCTGCGTTTGTTTGACGAGAACCAGCGACCGACAGGAGGGACGGGACGTGAGAAGAACTGGTAACGGGTTTTTTTGTTGTTGTCCGTACTAGTTTTTATTTTCTTAATTTTTTATGTGATATTTTAAAAGGCTAAAATAAACACAAACAAGCTTAATACAGACGAGATGCGTAGTTCTGTGGACAGATACAAATATTTGTACCATATTGTACCATACAGGTACAAATATTTTTACTTTTATGGTACAAATATCCAATGGCTGTATTGGTTGATTAGTAATGGTTGTTGTGTTTGTACAAATAAATCAAAATTGTAAATGTAAATATAAGGGTGTCATGGAGGTTTTGTTTAATCTCAGTGTATGTGATTTTAACATAATTCTAGTTATAAAAGTTATGAAGATATATATTGTGCATGCTTAAAATGTGTTTTGTATATTTATGCCATTAGTGTGTACTCTATAGGCTGTAGCGCAAAGTGTTATATATTTGTACAGGTATTTTGCTTCACTTCTGACTCGCATGCGAAGCCCTGGTCTCTTCCAACAGATGCCCTGTTTTCATTTTGAGGCTATAATTAGCACATCATGTGAAAATTTGACCTTCATCTTTTTTTTTTTTTTATCTCTCCCTTACCCACACAGTTTCCATCACCCTCCTGGCCTCTTCTTTTTTGTTGTTGTTGTCCAGGCATGGCTGATCTCATGAGGCTGCTGCTCCGGGTGTCTGAGAAGGCTGCGAACGTGGCTCGGGTCTGCAGACAGGAAGCTCCCCTCTTTCAGCTCCTCGTGCAGGAGAAGACCGGAGAGGACAAGAACAAGAAGTTTGTGCAGGACTTCAAGACCCTTGCAGATGTGGTGATCCAGGAGATGATCCGGCACGATGTGGGGGCTCAGGTGGGGGACTGTGAAAGATTGTGATCCTGCAGAATGAAACGGAGCTGGAGCAGGTCTTAATTTGTCTCTTGTTTTGTGCAGTTTCCTGAAATGGCAGGTTTCATCCACGGAGAGGAGTCGAACAAGTTTGAAAATGGACTAGGTAGTCCCATATTAAAATAAATGCCTGCAAGAACAGCTCAAAACCAGACTTGACGTGCTGATTAGCGCATGTTCTGGTGGAACCAAAGGCCAGCACTTCAGTGTGTCACTCTTCAAATATTTTAGTATTTGTGATGTTTAAATATTTGAAGTCACCGGATGCCTCGCTGTGTCAACAGGAGAGAGTGTGACGGTCAACGTGTGCAGCACCAAGGAAGAAACCGCAACACTGCTGTCCGCGGTGTTAGACGGCGACCACACGGCCGCGTCTCTGCTGGCTCAGGCCATCCACCAAGACCCAGAGACCATCGAAGCCAACACAGACGGCGTGACGGTTCCCCTCAGGCCGTCCGAGCTCGGCATCTGGATCGACCCCATAGGTAAAGAACAAGCACCAAGTTCATGCTCAATAATCCAGGTTACAAATCCAACAATGTTCAGTCTGGACGGTTTATTTTAAACAAAAAAAAAAAACATTTTCCTAGGAATCCCATTCAAACGTGCAAGAGAAGAGATGAATATTATCGTTGTTGTTTTCTTATTCAACAAGATGCCACCAGTCAGTACATAGAGGGCCGCGAGGAGGTGCTGGAGGAGGGGCGCCTGTCTCCTTCTGGTCTGCACTGTGCGCTGGTTCTGATCGGGGTTTACCTGCGGAGCACAGGCGAACCTGTCATGGGTGTAATTAACCAGCCCTTTTACCACAAAGACCCAACAGGCAGAGGGTGAGTTCACACAGTAAAAAAAGTATTTCCTTTAACAACAAGCACAGAAATATCCAGACATTCGTTAACTTTACCTGCTTTTTCCTTTTCGTATGGCTGGTATCACTGTGCGAGAGGCGGGGGACACCCTGGACATGTCCCCAGTCCATAACAGGGACACATGGCTGTGGCTGAGTGGTTAGAGCAGTCGTCCTCCAATGCGAGAGTTGGGGGTTCGAAACCACCAGCAGTCACATGCTGAAGTGTCCCTGGGCAAGACACTGAACCCCTCATAGCCTCTGATGTGTGTCCCATCAGTGTATGAATGTGATCTAAAGCACTGATTAGTCTCATTAGAATTATTTGTTCAATTAGCTTTGTATAGATCTAGTAGAGTGCTGTATGAACGGGTAAATGAGGACACAGATTGTGTTGTAAAGCGCTTTGAGTATCTTGAAATAAGATAGAAAGGCGCTATATAAGTACAGTCCATTTACCTTTACCATCTTTCCATATAATTGGATCGCCAGCCGCATGCGTCTGCTGATTCAATCAAAAGCCCGACACCAACCCAGCCCACCCATCCAGCACATTATTATGGCCCGGCCCAAATTCGGGCCGGGCTTCGGGCCCGGGTTAGAAATGACAGCTGTATGCTAAATTATTCCACCATCTTTGTGTTGCGACTCCAGAAATCTTTGACATTTGTGTTTGTGCATTTTCACCCGACTGGTTATTTTTTACATTCTCAGGTGGAGGGGAAAGCAGTACTGGGGCGTGTCCTGCGGCAACGTCAACGTCTGTTCGACATCACGGCCCGATGATGGAGCAGAGAAGGAGCGAGGGTCGTCTGTGGTGCTGAGCTCCAATGAGAAGCAGGCGGTGAAGGAGGCTCTGACCTCGCTGTGTGGCCCCGACAAGCTGATGTACGCTTCTGGAGCCGGATACAAGATCCTGTGCGTCATCCAGGGCCTTGCTGACGCTTACGTCGTGTCAGAAGGGAGCACCTTTAAGTGGGACTCCTGTGCTCCCCACGCCCTGCTCCGAGCCCTCGGAGGCGGAGTGGTGGACTTGACTAAGAGTCTGCAGTCTGACTGTGGAGTACAGGACCAGGAAACGGAAGTGACCTATCACCAGCCCTCCACTGAGCGCAAAGGAGCAGAGCGCTGGGCCAACCACGGGGGCCTGGTGGCGTACCGAGACATTTCTCAGCTCCGCAACATCATCGGGGCGCTAAAAGGCAAACTGTAGGTGAATTATTTAATGCTGGGTTTATGATCCTCCATGTTTTGTACAGTGTTTTAGTTGGAGATAAGTGGGAATAGAGACAAAATATTTGTTTTATTCTGTCCTCGGCATGTGCGCTGAACATGACTTGACAGATGAGTTGTACGTTTTAACAGATGCTGAGTGTACGTTATGTAACCACACAAGTCTTATCAGTTTGAGACGTGATTTCACGTTTTCTTAAAGCACGTTTACCTGTTGCTGACGTCACACGACTCTTAAAGGAGCCACGTCGTAATATAGAAACACAAAATTATCTTTCAGATAATAAACATATTTTAACAGAGAGAGAACATATATTTGTTAAATATTTAACCAGATTAATGTGCAAGTTTTAATATATCCAAACTTGAATATGCTGAAAGAGGACATTTTTGAATAAAAGTGCTATGATCCTCAAAAGACTCATGAATGTTAGGTTGCAGGATTTATTCTAAAAGTGTGGTCAAATATAAAGAAGTCTGTCTTTCTTTATTTGGGTATAAATATAAAACGGGGCCAACATATTTTGTGTCAAAATGGTGTGAGTATTTTAATGTGCAGTTCAGAGGGATGGGGTTTAACAAAGCAGGACTTTCTTCCCTTAGCCTGGCTGAACAAACCCTAAAACTACAAAAGTATCACGGTGCTACGCTTTGTTTTGCTCCGACTCTGCCCCATAATGAAAATTCAATTAGTTTATTTATATAGAGCCAAGTTACAACAGAAGTCGTCTCAGGGCGCTGAACAGAAACATTCATATGCGACAGTGGAAAGGAAAAACCCCCTCATGAGGAACCTTTAGCAGAACAGGCTCAGGACAAGCGACCATTTGCTTCGACCAGCTGGGTTTGGTAAGAACAGATACACAATGGCAGGTCAAGAATCACATGTTGAGATAGAAATAATACCTGATAAACTATTCAGTGTTAACAATTTAAGGAAACGAGGTCAGTTTGTCCTGTGGTAGTCTAAGCTTATCAAGCCAACCCTAATTATTATATGTACAAATCACTTCACCATTCAAATATGTTACTTTTGAAATATTCAGATATAGAGCTATTGAGAAATAAAATCAGCAAACTGTTTAATGTCGCAGCAAACCCAAAATATAAAAAACAGCTCATTATACATCTACGCTGATGATTCTCGGTCATCCAGGACATAAATACAAAAAAAAAAAAAGTCCAGTTGGTTTGTTTTTAACTTGTTTAGACATTATACATCTACTTTATACACATTCTTTATTTTCCTGCTATTTCTTATCAAGTTATGAGTTAAATGAAAAGGTCTTTAATATGTTGGTGTTTTTTTTAGTTGGTTATACTGTACTGTATATGCAGAACCTACAAAACATATGCACCCCTTTTTTAGATGTTTTACCATTTTATTGCTAATGTAAGTCATGGTTCATATAAATGGGTCTTTACAAACAACTTTCTTCATTGTTGAGGTGAATTCAGATTTCTAGTCACGCCAATTAAATGTGTGATTTAAAAAAAAAAATCTAATTAAATGTGTAATGTAAAATAAATGCAGAAATATTAACCCTATTTAAAACTGTCCTAATTCAAATCAATTAAAATATTATTAAAAAGTAAAGTCAGTCTGAGCTTGCAGAGTGGAAAAGAACATTTTAAGAAAACTCTTTTAAGGTAAATAAAAATATTCTGTTCACTTAGCAAACTCTAGCAGAGTTTAGTTTTCTTCAACAGTGTCGTCAAGCTTCGACTGGTGAAGAACTCTGGTAACAGTTGCTGTATGCTCAGTCTCCCCATCTGAAACTTGTAACTCCTGTACTCACCGGTGTCTTGGTGGTCTCTTTTCTGCACTCTGCTTCACTTTGAGAAAACGGCCTGCTCTTGGTAGATTTACACATTTCCCACAATCCTTAACAGAACAAACTCCTGGGGATGTTTAGGGCCATGGATGTCCTCTAGTATTCATCATGACTTGCCTTTTCAATATTTTTTCTTTACTAGTCACTTAAAATTAGGTGAAAATTGATGCAGCCACTTAAATTTCATTACATGCTTTTTGTTGTTGCATATAAAATGATTTCATTTTGTTAGACGGTTTTTGTAAAATGGTACAATTGACCATGACTGATTCATGACAATAAAACCATAAAACATCCAAGGGAGTTATTTTTTAATAAACACTGGTGGTGTTGTGTTTCATAAAGATGTTATGAAATCATCTCAGGCTGCTGGACTTCTGCGAAACACTTTTCAAGGAAATGTTTTTAACCAAACAAGATTGCTGCAGGCTGACCCACAGCTGCTGCTTTATTTAAAAATAAAAAAAAAAGGCTTTGGGTTGGTTTTAATTAAGTTTTTGGTATTTAATAACTAATCAGGCACATGAAGCCCAGAGACTCCAGCTCGCTGAAACAACTCCTTGTAAGGAGCATGTTAACAAGTTTCCTGCCTCATTTTTCATCACCATAAGAGTAAAAGGTCAGAGTGGAAACAAAAAGTAAAACAGACTTCTTTTACTGTTTAGAGTAAAATTCAGTGTTAGGCCAGATGAAATGGTTCTGCAAGATTAAATTTAGTTTAAACTTATGTCAGTATGTTAGTGTTTACTCTGTACGTACATAAAATGTTTTAACTTCTTAACTGACCTTCTAAAAATAAGAGTTTTTCGGACTATAAGGCACACTTAAAATCCTTTAATTTTCTCAAAAATCGTCAGTGAGCTTTATAATGAATTCAATTCAAAAATACTTTATTAATCCCAAAGGGAAATTAAATGTTGTAGCCGTTATCCTCGTTTCATTAAGAGATGATGCTGATGGCTGTAAGCTGGAAGGTCCGTCCCACAGCGGATCTGAAGAAACTGGTCACAGATGCTGTCCATTCCGTCCACCCAGACTAGGCTGGCCTCTTGGTTCCTCCGGGAAGCAGGACCACCCGAATGCTGGGCAGAACTCCTCCCAGAGCCATCAAGAACCTGAGCGGAGGCCACTCCTCCCAGCAGCCTGCCGAGCTCCTTGTTGCTGCAGGTGCCGGGGGACGATCCCGTCCTACTGTCACGAGCCTCGTTTCCTGCCAGCTCTAGGATGTCAGCGGTCAGGCACTCGAGCACAGCCGGCAAGGAGACGGGAATGCATCTACGGCACCTCCTTTTCAACTCATTTGAGAATTGGGGCTGTAGTTGAGATGAGCTTTTGAGGTGTTGATCAGCTGCTCCCGGTTGTAAAAAAAAAACAAAAAAAAACCACCTTGTTATGGTTATGCATCATAACAAATGTCCAAAACTTAAAAAAAAGTTTCAGTAAAAATCCTTCCAGCTGCACATCAGGTGCCTTATGTATTAATTCTGGTTGTGCTACTGACCTCAAACTGATTTTATGTGGGTATTGTGAATGAGCTGAATAAAGTTTGACTAATCTGTTTCGTTTCGCTTAATGCACTTTATAATCCGGTGTGCTTAGTCCGAAAAATACGGTACCTAAAACCCTGGATAATCACAGCCAAATTAATGTTCTTCAACCTGTACATGGAAAGCTATGGTTCTCTGTGAAGGTAACACTGATTTTTTACCCGCCGCTGTCTAAATAATTATAACTGGCACATAATAATCGGATGTTATTGGCTGTAGAGACCAGAGGTCGACCCAGTCATGCAAAAAGGGGCCTTCACAGCCATTTTGACACTGGTATTTAATCTTTATCCAGCAGAATCTTCTACGCTCGGTGTTCAAATTTAAGGTAAAATGGCTGCCGTCATATGCCACAGTATGAACTCTGACAAATTAAGTATGAACAAGCAGAAAAAGAAACTAGATATAGGGAATCATCTTTATTTCTGAAAACGAGGAAAGCAAAGAAAAAAAAATCCAACATTGTTGTTTCATCAGTCGGGAACTCAATTCTCTGCAAAAACCCCGATGATTGTCTGATTTTTACTTTATTTTATTTATTTTTTGCAAGATCAGCACATTGAGTTTAAAAACAAAGACTTCTGACGGTGTGGCGTCGTTCACATACTGAAGGCTGAACTGCTACCTTTAAGCACAGCGCTTCTCATTCTCGTCACAAAAATGTGAAAAACTGTAATGTGGCTGTTCAGTTTCCTAAAAAAATATATTCAAGACATTTTGATATGGAACTAAAACGAACCGAGCTCATCTATGCACGTTTAGAGGATTATTCCAGGTTGATTTTACAGATTCGTTCTTGTAACGAGCACCTGGGTTCAGAAACAATTCAGAACAGATTCATCCGTTTGAGGGGACTTCATATAAAGCTCAAGATTTTACTAATTCACTTCATGTCTGGGAAACTGACCAAATGCAACAAAAGAAGCAAAGCTTTCCAAACTGAGCAACAAAACCCTTTGCTCTTCATCTCACACTTTGCGCCTTAAAATATCACTGAAGTTACCGTGTTTTGCTCCGAGTGTAATGGCTGAATATATATTTTTTGGAATTAACCAACAAAATATCTTGATTTGCAAGTGAGCCGTTAGCTTAGTGAGCTACACCTCCTACTCAGCAGCAGCTGGAGGAGCCCAGTTTGGCTAAACCACTGATGACCAAAATCCCTCTTGTGTTTATAACAGTGGTGGGTGTGCAAATTAAGACAAAAAAGGAGACGACGCACAAAAAAACCTTCTGAGCAAATGCTAATATATGAAAAATACCCTTTATCAAATGCCTCACACACACACACACACAACTTCCACGTTACCAAAGTTCAAGCCAAACGTAAACAACAGCCGTTTTCTTTAAGCTGCTGTTCAAAATCAAAGTGTAACTTTTAGGCAGCAAAACAAATTTCTTCATGTTGTTTTCATCTGTAACACTGGAAAAAGTATTTAAAAAAAACAACAGAATTTTTACCAATTTTCTGTAAAGCCGTGATAAATAAAATCTGAACCACATTAACAAGTTAAAATGAGTGTGTGGCACAAAACGAGACATCGGGAAATATAAAAGGATAACGAGGACGTCCGGAACAAGCTGGACGCTGGAGAACACGCAGACAGAGAATTAGAACTGCAGGATTTATATTGTTTTGGTCGCTGTTTGAATAATTGCAAATAAGTTACGCAGCAACAACAACCGGTAAAATGTAACCGTTTTGTTTAATAAGATGAGAGCAAATTAGTGCAAAAAATTTCAAGATCACTTCTGATGTAAAACTATCATTTATCACTTTTATAACAATAAGTTGTAAAGATATTTACATTTTTGTTTAAAGTTTGTCACACTTCTCTTTTTTCATACACAATTTAAATTACTTGAATGTAAATTCAATTTAAATTCACAGCTTAATATCTAATGATAGTGGCAAAAGTGTTTCCCAGATATGGATTTTTTTTTTTTAATCCTTCAAATTGTCTCAAAAGTACCGTATTTTTCAGACTATAAGGCGCATTTAAAATCCTTTAATCTCAAAGATCAACAGTGAGATTTATAATCCGGTGCGTCATATGTATTAATTCTGGTTGTGCTTACCGAGCTCGAACCGATTTAATGTGGCACGTGGAGCTCAAGTGTCTGTTAAAATGTTTTAGTTTTGCTTCATGCGCCTTATAATTCGAAAAATATGGTAAATAAAAATATAACCTCAAAGCAAAACGGTCCTCTGACATAAAATACCAGTGCTAAACGTAGCTGTTGAACAGGAGAAAAAAAGTGTACAAGACCATTTTTATCTTTAAAGATTTTTTCTTTAAATTGGATGAGCTTTACTGCTCAAGAAAAAATAAATTTAGTGCCGACTTTGTTGTAACCAGAAAAAAATAAAACCACCAGTCACATAAAAACATGGAGCTTTTAGGCCATTTCACTAACAAATAAGACGAAAGGTGCTCTCTACAGGAATTTATCGACAGCAGCAGTGAGACGTTGTGTATTTCTACATATCTGTTGTGTCTCTGTTAGTGTGGTTCAGATTTGTTCGATTTGGCTGGTTCACACATTCCTTCAAACAGAAACACTGACCCAGTGAAGCTGCCCTGATTCTCATCCTCGTTTCTTCTCATCGACCGTATTCCTGCCTGGAGCCAAAACTTGCACAAAACGTTAGTGAGTGAGAAAACGGAAGCGTTAAAAGTAAAAGTGAATCAATCATGCGATGGCGGATTTGGCAGGAAGTTATCAAAAGAAAAATGTTTCATTACAGCATCGTTAGAACTTCAGCTTTAAAGGCTACAGTCATCTGTAAGGCCGACAACATAATCAGGTGAAATAAAAGTTAAAGCACCATCACTGCATCTCCTTCAGCTTTCAATACTCTGCTTCACTCAAATGGTTCGTCTTCAGTCTCTCTCGGTTCTGGCTGATCGGACTCGTACCCATGAATCCTCTCAGATCTTGGCACGCCGACAGGCAGGCGAGAGACAAACATGGCCCTGTATTTGTTGTGTCCCTGCGTTGCTATTTTGACACAAAGTAAACGAACTTCACCTCTGAAAGGGTTTTCGGACCTTCTTTCTCCTTCTGGGAGGTTTGCCGCTTTCGGCCCAAGACTCGGTAGAATCTGGTCGGTGTGCGCCCGGCGTGTAGAAACCTGTCTGACCTGGGGGAGGGGAGAAGGGGTTTGCCCCGGCACTAGGTGGGTGATGAGGAGGCGGGCCTGAGGGAAAGAAGCTTCCATTGGCTGTCATGTCAGTCGCTGGTCCACCCTTAAACATTCTGTTGAAGAAATCCTGCAGGTCGGCCGGGTTTGAAGGTCCACTGCTGTGCTCTGAGGTGGTTCTGAAAAGAAACACAAAAGGTCCAGGGTTGTTTCTTGGTACCAAGCATAGTGTGAAACTATATTTTTGTTCAGGTTTTAACAGAGAGCAATGTGGGTGTATCATGAAATGTAATAAACGAGGTGTTACTGGGTTGAGAAGAAAATGTGTTTGAACACAGATCCAGCACAAGTTCTGGTAAAACGTACTTCATATCTAATCCACTCTTAGAGGAGGTTCCCTCAGCTCTTCTATGTTTTAATTGTTATGTTTTAGAAAAAAATTCAAATATGACAAATGAAGCAAACATAAAGTTATTTAAAAAAGACTTATTTTAGTTTAGACTAAGTAAAAAAAAAAAAATTATAGAATCACTTGATCTTAGGGGGAAAAGAACATGACAAAGTTAATTTGCCTTCTAGTACACACTACTGCACAAGTTCAAGATGTCAATGAGTTTGCTGTTAATAGAAAGCCTGAAGGGCTCCAAACACCGCTGCAGTCGGCTGATCCTGAACAGTAATGTGACCCAGATTAAAGAGTCACTTTAAAAGTCAATCCATTCATTTTCTTCAGTTTGTCCGGTTGGGTCGTGGAGGCTACAGGTCCAGAAGAGAAACCCAGACATCCCGCTCCCAAGGGACACATCTCCTCCGGGGGGATCTCAAGATGTTCCACGTCAAAGAGGACTCATAATCCTCTGGTGAGTTTGGGGTCTTCTCTCAGTGGTCTCAATGTTTAACTCTTCATTTTATTGTGTTTAAAACAGAGTTTTTTTTAGCTTTCTTTTATCTTGATTTTAACTGAACTTTGTTTCAGCTGTGGCTGGTGTTAAAGTGCTTTATAAATAAAGTTTTTGTTGTTTGTTCAGTTTGATGCCAATTTTGGATAAAGCTTGAAAGAGCCGCTGCAGAGACACCAAAGAGCCGCATGTGGCTCCAGCGCTGAAGGTTGCAGACGCCTGGTCTAAACATTTGGGGTTTTAAACTTAGGACTCCCTTATTGGATTTTTAGGCTGGACACTCCTGGGGACACCATCTGATCCAATCCAGTCATGACAGCACCCTGTTGAAGGAAGATACTAGAGTCCTACCGATATATCAGTAGGGCTGAAAATTTAGGCTGATAAGGACATCTGGGGACCTATTGGTGTCTGTGATAATTGTTCCATTATGCGCCGATATAAGCACTTCGAATTTTCATCCCTAAAATGCTGGGAATCAGCCATAATTGTACAAAGTATCCAGCAGAGGGCGCGTGAAGACTACTTTCAAGTCATGACTGTTTAACTTTCACTTACAGCACAGCTGAAGCAGGGAGCAATACTGTGGGGCACATTTGGCTAACAGAGCATTGAAAGTTCATTTGAACTGATCTGTAAAACAAATCAACAATAATAAATTACCTTTAATCCTCCAACCTGCTTGTCATTAGCTACATGCCTCTCAAGTTAGCAAGCTTAAGTTTGGATTACCCAGCATAGCCTTTTAATACTTTATCCAGAACAACAAATCTAAACGTAGAGGTAAAATAAAATGCATTGTTTGTCGGAAATCTTGACTTTTCTGCCAAGAAAAATAAACGCTGCTGCTGTCAATAAAAACTGGGCCTTCACCATACGCGACTGTTTAAACAATGAATGGCGTTTCTTTATTTAATTGATACTTTTGTAACACACTTGATAACTTCATGATGAATAGTGGAGGATAGAAAATGTGAACGCATGTTAGGAAGATTGTTTTTATGAACCACCACTTGCAAACCTAGTGTGGGACTACGTATAGCATGGATCTGATTTACTTAGCTTCATGGTTGCTAACAGCTGCACTAAATAAACAAGCCCCGCTCCACTCGCTGTTTACTTAAGATTCTCGGCAGTGGACAAAACTCAAAACTTTTCAGCCATTATATCGTTTATCGGCATTAGTCTTTCCCTCTAATATTAGTATCGATGATAGCCAAAATGTCCATATCGGTCAGGCTCTATGATCAACCAATTTATGTCCATATTGCAGGTGAAGAGTCCCTCTTAGGTACGTACCTGTGTCGGGTGGGGTTGCTGCTGTTCTTTGAACCAAAGGAGATGTGATATGGTACACGGTGTGTGTCGGGGGAAATACTTATTCTTTGACAACCTGCCCACTCTGAAACATGAAAACATGTAAGTCATTTAATGGTGATCATAAATTACAAGCAAAACGCAGATTTTCAGTAAGGATGGCTATAATAAGGCGTCGCCTAAAGTTTGCTATTTTAAAGCACTCTAGAGCATGTCAACAAAATGTTAAGGAAGACATCAGCAATGATCTTAGAAAAACAACTGGAGCTGCCATTTATAAGAGTAAATTACAAAGTTATAAGAAACAGCGTTTAAACAAAACACAGATCTTCTGAAATAATTTCCTTGGGATAAACAAGACCAAAAACATGTTTCAGCTGAATCCACAACAATGGGATTGGTGTCAGGCAAACTCAAGGTATCAGCACAAACATCTGATTTCAAGTGAAAAGAACAGTGTAAAAGGAAAAAACAATTAAAAAACACCTGGGCAAACCAAATATCTTTAGAGTCAAGCGTGTCTGACAACTGAGACTTGGCCTGAAGTGAGTCATACAAAATGACAACGACCCTAAACACTGCAGCAAAACTGCAATTAAATGACTGGACAAAAAGAATCAAGGTGTTGCTAAAGTCCAGTCAGTCTAGACCTCAAGCTGATTGAAATGCTGTGGTGGGACTTTAAAAGAGATGTGCAGAATATCAGCAAACTTTATTAAAAACGTTTTTTCCTTTCGTCTTCTCTCTTCTTCAGGAGTCACCACAGCAAACTAAGTCGTACGAAGACTTGGCGATTGTTTAAACACCGGATGCCCTTCCTGATGCAACCACAGAGCACGGAGCTACCACAACTGTGTGGAGCAGGGAGCTGCCATCTAGGACATCTGGGGGAGCAGATGATGGGGGTTAGGGGCCTTGCTCAAGGGCCCAGAGTGGGGCAAATGAGGGTGGAGGCAGGTGTGGGAGCTTCACCGATCCCACTCACATTTTTGACGTCGTTCCTGGGAGTTGAACCGGCAATCTCTGCGCCACCACTCCCTATTAAACTACCTTAATAAACTAAATTAATGTTGTAAAAAAAGTAAGTCAAAACTCATCCATTCATCCAAATTTCAGACGCTGTTCAAAACAAAAGGAGTATTTTACACAACTGCTGCTAGAAGTGTTTTTTCAAGTTATTTATTAATGAGGGAATGTTCATTTTAAACCCTTTTGCACAAGTTTTAAACATGTTTAATCCCAAATGATTTTACTGCATCCTAATACATACAATGTTGGAAGCTGAAAGAATCTGCACTTCCTTTTCACCAGGTCTGTAAATACTAAAACATCTCACACAGTCTTTCCTCTCATGTACAGTCAAAATGTCTTGTTTTGTAACTTCCACCTACGTTTTTGTCCTTTTAAAGCCACGTGATTCTCTTACCAAATGTATGCAAACAATTAGTCAAGAAACTTTCTTTAAACAGTGAAAACATCACAGCACAAACACTGAATGGTCATTGCAAGCTACAGCAAGTGTTTTTGTGCGCCACTAATGAGCAAAAGAGAAACGATTTAAAGAAAAGCTGTTGCTCACCTGTTATATCATACACCTTCCCCTCCATACAAGCAAAGTATGTGATGCGTAAACCCAACATGCTCGACTCAGCCCACAAGTCTCCCTCCTCAGCACTGTGGAAACTACTGCATTCTGCACAGAAGCGGGCTTCGGCAGGTTCACGATCCATCTCAAACCGCCTGCACGCACAGGACATAAAGAAAATACCACTGTGGTGAAGGTCTAATCCACAAAAGTGATTCAGCTACAGTATGAGTAACAGTTTGAGGACAAGACACTGATGCAGTGAAGGGATGGTGTTGGGTGCGGAGCAACATACTTGTGCTTGCCTTCACACTTTGTGCACATCATAGTGTTCATGGCTTCCTTCAAGTCATCCTGCAGCTTAGTGAGAAACTCGTTCATGGACTTTGAGAGCTCGGTTGCTGCCATGCGCTTCCTAAAGGGGAATGAAACAAATGACAAGAAAACAGCAGACAAATCACATCTTAACTCTGTGTCTTTTTAGGCCTTTTAGTCATTTTAAAAGAGCGAGTTCAATGTTGTTTAAGATGGGTTATAAGTAGGGGTGCACTGAGTTCCTTAATTTTGGGAAACGAGCCAATACTTGCACGAGAAACCGATTCTTTGTAGTTTTAACAACAACTGTCTGAACTTCACTTATATTTCAAAGCACTAACTCACGGCCAGTTAAAACAAGTTTGTATTGTTTCCAGGATATTGTTCAAGGGTATGTTTTTCAATAAAATAATATTGGAAAATTGAAGGTGCATTGTGACCTTATGACAACTGACAATGTCGATTATAAAACAAAATCAGAATCGGCCAAAATCAGAATCGGCAGGTCAGCCTTTTTAGAAATCCGTGATCGGCCAGGAAACTGCAATCGGTGCACCCCTAGTTATAAGTAGTTAGTATCTTACCTGCAGCAGCAATCATAGCAATTTTTATTTTAGATTCAGGATCAAATTTTGAGATTAAAACTGTTATTCACAGCAGTGCCTATATAGAAGCAAATTTCTGCCTATAACTCAAACCTGAAACATTTCATAACAAATACCACATTTTAAAATTTTACACATCATCAACTTCTGAACTTTATATCTATAAAAGCATTTACTTGCACTAAAATTTAATCTTCAATCTTTGAGTTGTTTTAGATGACAACTACATTAGGTTTAGCTCTGAGTGTTAGTCAAACTCTGGAGATTGTTCTAACCAGGTAAGACACTGACTACTCATGGTTCGCCATTATACAGCAGTCCCTCGCCACTTCACGGTTCACTTTTCGCAGACTCGCTCTATCGCGGTTTATCAAAGTAACATTGGGCATGACACACAATGGCTGATGGATGGATGAGCCGCACAATCGGCATGGATTTTTTTAATTTAAAATAAAATTTAAATTATTTACCACCTGTGTGCAGCCCACAGCTGTGGGAGAAACTTTCTCCTGCAGCTGATCAGCTGATCTCTGCAGAGATCATGGAGAAGTGGGCATGGCCAAGAGTGCAGCGGGAGGCAGAGAGCTGAAATTATGACATTCTGTGCTCTTTTAGAACGTTTAGAAACAAAACTACTACTTACTAATTGTACTACTATTCCTACTTTACGTTTTTTTATTTATCGCAGGGCTTCAGGGTACGGATACCCTGCAATAAACAAGGGACTACTGTAATCCCACTTAAACAAATTTATCTTTGAAAGAAAAGTAAATGTGAAATCTGAACATGAAGACAACTTAAACTTTTCAATAAATCTTTTTTAAACCAGCTAAATCTTGAAGGTTTCCTTCTTGAGCAAAGAAGAAATGATCAAGATCATTCCATTAGAGCAAAGGACATGTTAAAATAAGACAAACATGTAAACGTGTGCTTGACAATAATTAGGTTTTTTCCTGCTCCATTGTGGTTTTTCTGTTGTCACGTAACTGATTTTTCTTTGTACTTACAGCTCATACTCTTGTCGTGTCTCAGGGTTGCTGACGATATCCCAGGCCGCCCTCAGAACTTTGAATGCCTCTCCAGCTCGTGGGTGTTTGTTCTTGTCTGGATGGACCTGAAAGAAAACAGGGAGGGAAAGTTTGAGTAAAAGAAGAAAAATATGCATTTTGTTGGTTATTATTTCAGGTGTCTAAAGGAAAAAGTATGCAGTCCTTCTGATTCTCTGACCCTCTCCTCACCTGAACAGCCAGCTGTCTGTAGGCCTTCTTTAGCTCCGTCTCTGTGGCGTGGACCTCAACACCCAACACTGTAAAAGGGTCAAGCTCTCCTTCTGGTACTTCAGCCAGCGCCAACAGTCGTTCCAGCTCCTGGACTGGCTCTCCTCTTCCTGCTCTGCCAGGTGATTCGGGCGAATAGGGTGGAGTACGACCCCCTCTCCTGAACCTCCTTCGGACTTTGTCCAGCAGGTACAGCAGCCTCTTCCAAAACCTTGACTCCTGAAAGGCAGCCCAATAACGTTTCCCCCTTTCTCCTCCAATACGGACCAACATCCCCTTTGTCCACTGGAAGCTGAGTATAACTAAGGCGCAGAAAAGTTTGAAACAAGTCAAGACAGCAGACTTTACCCATTTTGTTAACCTCACAGTTCTGTCCACAAAGTCAGTTCCTGTGCATTTTATCCATTTCAACACCCGGCTGATGTCTGCTTTCATTCCAGGTACATCAGTGATCTTCACAAGGAGCTGTTGCCCAAAGTTGTAAAGTTTCACAACTCCCATCTCCACTCCAACTCCACAATTGTGCGTTAATGTTACAATAATCTCAATCAACATGTGGACGCACGAGATGCACCAGAAGCTCAAGGATTCTGAGAGCATTTCTTTGAAAGCAAAGAAAAGTTGGTTGCCCGTCTGCCTGCGACCCCGGTTTTGCTGATAGTGGTGATGGTTGCGTCTGCGAGTCTGCTTGTGCCGACTGCCACCTGACATAACACTGCCTCTCTGAAAAGAAGAAAAAGCACTCTGACCGCTTTGCTCAAACAGGGATCCACTGCTTTTTAATTTGCACCTTTTTCCACTCCCAATGCTCCTCCAGCCAGATTCTCCATTCATGTGCTGCTCTTTTGCAGCTTCATCCTCCTCTTGATTTATAACCTGTGGGTTCTCATCTTCACTTCTGTCATGGTCAAACTCATCCAGACCCTCCTCAGTATCTTCTTTAGCCTCTGTAGAGTCACAACAATCTGCTTCTTCATCAGCTTCTGAGTCTTGATGAGTGACTAGATTTGTGGCTTCCTGAGAGTTAGGATGGGATGGTTTGTCTTCCTGCATGTACTCATCAGTCTCTCTGGCTTCTGAGGCCAAATCACTATTAGAGATTTCCTCATCATCCATCTCTTTTTCAGCTGTGTCTTTCTCCATGTTCTGTACAGATGCCAGACTGATGAGCTGTAAAGCTATAGTTTTACAGAACAGGATTTTCTAAATCCATAATCAGCAGCAACAACTTCCCACTGAAGTGAGACTGCAGTTCATCACAGAAAGACTCCGGTACCCCGAGTCACTTTAAAGTGGCAAAATGCTTTTACTCAGATCACATGGTGGACGGGGGTTCACCTAAAAAGCACAAAATCAGTATAAATTAGGAGTAACAGTACACAACTGCTAAGCTTCTAAAATATAAAGAAACAAATCCAAACATAAAGCTAAAGTAAGAAAGACAATTCACAGTCTCACTAATCCTTTTGTAAAAAATTGTTTTAGCATTTCCGGTTGCAATATTATAAAATGTTACTTAACACTGTGACTTTTCAGACAATTTATTCACAACAAAAGCAAAAAATTAATTATTGTATCTTATCGAAAACACTCCCTAAACATTAATTATTTGCACCAGTGTGTAAAAAGGAGAACAAAGCAGTTTAAGCAGAGCTTAGAAATAAAAAGTTATATTTTTATTTATTCATATCTGTTATGCCCGTATGATAGTTCATAACTAGTTATTTATTTTACACCTTTGCTGCAACACTGTAGTCATCTATGATCTAATGTTTTCACTCCGAGATGGAACATAATGAAGTATAAACTGATTGTACTTGTAAATTAAACTGGTTTTCCTTTTCTTTTAATGTCACTTTCACTCCACAAAATATTTATACCACAACACATTTACCCAGGATTCATACTGCTGAAAATATTTGATCTGCAAGTTAACTGACAGAACATGATGCCACTTAGTCTAACAATATTATTATCTATTATGCAATTAACAATATATTTGCATGTGCAAACAATGAGTGTGGCAGTCGTTTTATAAGCAAAGGTAAATTAATATTTCATAAACAAATGCAACATAGTTTATCAAGAATGGAAACGTTATTTTGTAAGTCTAAGAAAAAAGGTCACAGTCATGAACAAATACTGTGTTATTATGAACTAGGCTCAAAACGAAGCTACAACAACACACTGCTTCTGTTGTTTAATAATGTGCAAATAAAGCGAGCTGAAACAGCAAAGCACTGTGGTGTCTTTTTGTAAAACGCCTCACGTGAACCTCAGGTAAAAGCAGCTGTTTGTTTTACGATGGTCGTGTTAGCAGCAGCCAGGGTGTTAGCATGAGGAAGCATGACGACAAACATGGCTGAAAGTGGCTCTTCCGAAGCTGACTATCTGGGGAAGATTTTAACCAAATATAGTCGTAAACCTCGATAAAACGACAACTCCGCCTGTATAGTGAGCGTTTACGTCTGCTTAGCTTGACAGCAGCTAACTCAGTGAACTGGACTAGCTGTTGTTCCGTTTCCTCTTCCTGCGGGCTTGTTTCCGACACAGCACGAGTCGCGCAAGTGTTCAGATTAATTTATAGTTTACATGCAGGTAAACTAAATGTCGTACATACCTGAAAGATAAATGTTAAACCTTGTTAACAGACAACCAAGTGTCCGTGTTGTTTTTTTTTTCCCCTCCTTCTTCTTCTGCTGTTTCCTACTTTCAACAAGTTTCTTCTTCTTCTAATTTAAATCAACAGATTGAAGCTTCTGCCCCCTAGTGGTGAAACTATAGACTGCGCAGAACAGTGGCTCCCAGGACTGGGATTGTGATAGCATTGAAACACAATAAAATAGTGCAAAGTCTTCACGTCTGCAGACAAGAACTCCGGAGGCATGTTGAGTAGTGACTGAGCTGTTCCCCAAAAGTATTGTTTTCTTTAAAATAAACTAAAGCAGAAGGCATAGCTAAATTCCCATACTGACATGTTTTAAAATAACCTATATTCTATATATGACTGTAGTTTGATAAAGAGTTCTGAAATTCTGGATTAGAAATGGTATTCCACAATTATCAGTGGCCACCATCTATAATAATAATCCAGCCATGTTCAGTCAGGTCAACTGCCCACTGAGCAAGGAGACGTCTAAACAACGTCGTTTCTGCATCTAAATTGGGTCCCTCGGAGGTGCAGACTGTGACGCCAGAAGACGTCTTTTTCCGACGTCTAAAAGACGTCCAGTTTCGACGTCTATTGGACATGTTCATATTGACGTCTTTTTCCGACGTCTAAAAGACGTCTAGTTTCGACGTCTAGCGGACATGTTCATATAGACGGTCTTTTCCACGTCAACTAACTATATTTATTATTTTAAATAGGCTCTTATTATATTTAACTTATTTTAGTCACTTAAGAAATGCTGCTTGCATATGAAAAGTACTTTAAAACTGCGACTGAAGCTAAGGAAATAGTTCATTTGACCACCCATTGTGCAGCAGGAAACATGGTCCTAGAAACAGTTGGATTAGAGTTTATAAATCACTCCTTAAATTTTTCATTTATCTTATTTATTTAACACAATTTAAAGGATTAACAGAACAGTAGCGTAACACTGGTGGCAAAAACTAAAAAAAAAAAAAAAAAAAAGTCCACCTTCAGTACCTTAAAAAAAAACAACAACAAAAAAAAAAACAACCATAGAATTAACAGGGAGCTTATCAACTGGTGGCAAAACACAATGTACACAAACAAATCTATAAAAATACACAGCTCACATAGCTTTGGTCTGTACTTAACATAAAAAATTAAAAAATTAATATGCCTTCATTTTCATTTTCGGATAGCTGAACTAGCAACACGAGAAATAAAAGCTATATAAAATTACAGTCCCCTCACCACAATTACCGTACACAATTTTTTTTAAAGTGTGCTGGTCATAACATTCTGAATAAAGTTGATTTATTTCAGTAATTCCATTCAAAAAGTGAAACTTGTACTCAGTCATTACACACAGACTGATATATTTAAAATATTTTAAAGTTGATGATTATAACTGACAACTACTGAATACCCTAAATTTAGTATCTCAGAAAATTAGAATATTACTTGAGATCAATTTAAATTAAAAAAATTAAATAAATAAATAGATAAAGGATTTTTTTTTTATATATATATATATATAGATGTTGCCCAAAAGAAAAGTATGAAAAATGAAATGTACGAGTATGTATATATCATTCATTACTTGGTTGGGGCTCCTTTTGCAAGGACCATGGTACCATGTTCACACTTTTCAGTTGACCAACATCTATAAAAATCCTTTTTTCATTTTTTAAATTGGTCTCAAGTAATAGTCAAATTTTCTGACATACTAAATTTGGGGTTCTCATTAGTTGTCAGTTATAATCAACATTAAAAGAAATAAACGTTTGAAATATGTCTGTGTGCAATGAATGAATAGAATATAGAAATTTCACTTTTTGAATGCAATTACTGAAATAAAATCAACTTTTTCATGATATAATTTTATGACCGGCACCTGTATTTGCATCTCACTGCTTTGTGGCACATTTTAAATGTTCTGTGTGAGCCCGCTTCCTCCAATTCTTTGTGGCGCATGTTTTAAATGCTCTGCAGCATGAGTCCTTATAAAACCTTCTGTTGCTGCAGCATCCCCATTCATGATTCCATCTGCATTTGCAAAAAAAAAAAAAAGACAAAAACACAAAAAACAAATGAGTAATTAGTAATATGCAAAGGCAATCTGGAAAAATGCACAATGTCTTGCTGGGGCCTCCCCTAATACTGGATTAATAAAAATAAAAAAAAACATCCCTGCAAATATTCATAGTTGGCTTTGAATTTTTTTTGCCAATCACTTCACACTTAGAGTGCTTTACTAACACACATTTATTTATCATTTATTAACGTTTATTTAACCAGGCAAATCTCATCGAGATCACAGATCATTTTCAAGGGAGGCCTGGGCCTGAAGGCAGCCTAACATGCATGTTTTTGATCTGTGGGAGGAAACCGGAGTACCCGGAGAAAACCCACGCATGCACGGAGAGAACATGCAAACTCCACACAGAAAGACCCCAGGTCCAACCGGGGATTGAAATGGAAACCAGGAAATATCATTCAGGGAACAGTTGAAGTGCCTGACATCTTCATGGAGATGGGATAGTCCATGTACATTGTATACAGGAAAGGTTTTACCATACAGGTCAGGACAGAGCACGACAAAATGTTTGATTAGTTCTTCAGCATATTGGAGATAGGCCTTTCCAATTCTCTCATCTGACTCCAGCATTATTGACATGGCTACTGTCAGGGACAAGAAATGTTTGTATCTCACAGGGGATAACACAGGTTTTAAAACCACAGGTCCAGTGTACAACAAAAACTGCCGTAGTTCAGTGGCTTTCCACCTATCCATTTCATGCAAGCCCCGTGGCTGCTGTGAAAACTCACTTGGCATCTTCCCTCTGAGTGCAACTAGTTTTTTAGAACTGTCATCCTTTTGTCTCACAGATAAGCGACATATTTTTGGGCCACGAGTCAAGTACAACAAGAGGCGTCTAACTACTCCCAAGCAGACCATATGCATAGAATCCAATACAAATGTGCTAACACAAGGAATTCCTGCATCAATGAAGGGGCTGACATCAGTTTGGTGGTTCCTGTACTCCACTCTGGAAAAACTGTCATCTGTTCTAGAAGCGCATTCCTTCTCACTGAAAACCATTGTTCCCTCAACACGAGTGCCTCTTATTAAACATCTTTCACAGCTCTCATAGGAAGCATGACCCTTAATACATTTCAGATACGCCCTTGCTGGCGCGTCACAGATCAGAGCATTAATATTTACAGTGCAAGTCTGGCCTTTATAAACGATACCATTGGCTTTCAGATGTTTGTACTCAGTCACAAAATCTTTGGACTTGGCTTACTTTGTCCACTGAACATAGCAACAACAAATGGATCCCAATTACCACACCTCACTAGTATTGGCCAGAATTGGACACCACTACTTTTGAAAAGTGGGACACCATCAATGTTTACAGTAATCTGCACATCGTTGCTCTTTATCTGGCTTAAATAACGACAGATCCCCTTCTCTAGGCCATAGTACATGTACTGCCCACCACATTTAGGCTCCGTGGTGTTACATTGTGGTGTAGCAAGTAGTGTACGGCAATCCACTGGCAATATGTGTCCTTGCTTTCTTAATATGGCCAATAAACCATTAAGTGCTCTGTGTGTCAATGCGTGTTCTACGGCCCATTGTCTCAGGTCATCTTCAAAGCTGCTGGTCACCTCAGCATCATCATTTGACTCCTCCGAGGAGGAGGATGACCAATAGTCCATACCAGCATCAAAGTCTAAACTACCGGTATCTGAAGTCTCAACACGGTCACTGTTAAAGCTATGTGGGGTCACAGGCACACTGCTGCAATTATTTTGAATGCCTTGTAGCTCATCTTCACTGTCAGAATAACGTAGAAGTAGATCGAGGTCTCTTTTGTGTTTTCGCCATGCTCTCATTCTTAAAGCCATCTGTAAACAGATTTGAGTACGAGTTAATCTAGTTTTTGTTTATTTTACATATCCAATGCAAAGGGGAGGAGAATGGGGCCACAAAACATACCTTACTGAGGTAGTTTAACTCCTTATTCCAAGTCCAGATTCAAAAGACACCACATAGGAAAAAAAAAAAAAAAAAGGTTTATAAACACAACTAAACCTCTGGAGTGACATGTTCACAGATATATTTATATTAGTCAGAATGTAGTTGAGTATATCCCAAATAAGTATTTTGCCATGTCAAAATATAATTAAAGATATCTTAAAATGAGACATACCATGCTTTTTTCATATTTAATCATTCAATTGAAATGCTTTGGTCTGAATTCAGGGCATCTGGACAGTTGGTTTTTTTTTTTGTGCTGAAACATTTACCTTCCATCCAGCTTCATCAGTCCAAGAAAAAAATAAAAATACAAACACAAAACCTCTAACCTCGTAGCATATGCGGCTTATTTAAAGACTAGAATAACTTATTTTCTAACCTGTAGTGTTCTACTTGCCTTAAATCGTCTGCTGTAGTGACGTAAAGAAGTTTTAGCTCACGTTAGCTTAAACGTTAGCTAAACTATCTAGCAAGCCACAGCAGGTAAGAGAACAAAGATAAAACAGACAAAACATAACCTATTACCTTCAACTTCTGAATGGATCGCAGCAAGTTTAGTGCAGGCAGTTGAATTCCGTGACAAATGAACTGAACACAGATGAGCTCCGATAAAAATGACCACAAGCTGAGCACCGACAGAAATGAAAATAATACTGTTGGTTTATGAACGAAGCGCGGTTCAGCAAGAGTGGCGTTGATTGGTCGGAACATGATCACGTGCTACTCCGCCAATCCAATCATAACGCTCGGGTTCCGAAGAAGCAATACAATTCTTCTTCGTGTTTTTATGGCAGAAAGCAAACAACTTCACAAGTACCGCCACCTACTGAAAATTAATTAATAATAATAACAATAATAATAACAATAATAACGATATTCTTCAAATAAATAATAAGGTAACTACTAAAATTTGTAAAAAAAAAAAAAAAAAAAAAAGAATAGAGGAAATGCATGTTAAAAAAATGATGACCTCCAAGTCTGACGTTATGTTGACGTACAAATGCGGTCATGGTTAGACGTCCAAAAGTGGACCTTGTTTGCACGTAGGGGGAACGTCCAGAAACGGACCCAATATAGACGTAATCTGGACGTCCATTAGACGTCTAATGTTTAGTGGGTGGACGGTTACATTTTTGTTCTGAGACGTTTCGTCATCAGTCTGAGGAAGCACCAAACAAAACTTGTTCTCCCACTCCAAAGTGGAAAAAAAAAAAAAAACAGTTATGTTGGTGCTAAAATGGTCTCTGGGGCACGCCCTCTCCCTGGTCGAAACATGGTTCCAAACACCAAAGTCCATGCTCAATAATCCAGGTATAAAATCCAACCATGTTCAGTGGGTCATCTGGATGGTTTCTTTTTTGTTCTGAGACATTTCGCCTAGAAGCTTCATCGTTCTATGTCAGCACAAAAAAGAAACTGTGTAGATGACCTGACTGAACATTTTATACCTGGATTATTGAGCATGGGTTTTGGTGGTTTAATAATAATTATTATTATAATAAATAATTCTTATAAAGAAGCTATCATTGGGAACTGGTGTTCAAAATTGATATGGCATTTTAACTTTTCTTCAATAGTCACCAACTCCTTGATCATTTCTGCAAACATGAACTACATTTTTTTTCTAAACAGTTTTTGTTTTTCAGACTTCACCAAATTACTTGTGTGTAAACATGTGTGGGAGGCCAACAACTAAGATGATAACAGGTTTAAACAAGATCCTTCAGTCACGCGCTGATGCTGAGTTTATTAACTTTTTTTAGCAAGTTTGCGCAGTAAAATATGCAAAAACAAAACAGTTGCACTGTTTAAGAGGTGCTGTTTAAGTTTCAGACTCTTTCTTTTTAAGATAAACTTTCACAAAGCTCTCTGTACATGCAGTCCACGTGATGAGTCCAAGTTTGAGATGTTAAAACTGGGAATCCCCCAGTGAAGGACTAATCTCAAAGACGTAAAGGGTTAATTTCAAGCCCCCGCTGCCGCCGCCCACATCTCCTGTGTTGAAAGCCGCCTCTCCACCGGGAGAGGAAGGCTCTTTTTCGGTCAGATGGCGTGCTGCAGTCCGCCCCCGTCATTCTTCAGCCCACACAGGCAGCAAAAAGGCAGCCAGCGACCAATGGGGTGCGCCGGAGGAGGATTTCTGCCAGTGATATCACGAGGAGCGACGCGCGCAGAGGTGGGGTTTACTACAGCAGTCTGCGCCGAGGAGGCTCAGGCAAGAGGAGAGAGGAACGGATCTGTTCTAGAGGCTGAGCAGAGTCCAACATCTGGCTCCAAGAGTTTCTGCTTATCCTGTCTGAAGGGAAGATTACAGCAGCTGCCCTTCAGCACATCTGCATATCTAACCTGAAGGTAAGACTCGTTCAAGAATATTATGGGCTTTAGGTGTTTGCATTACAAATGGGATGGGATCTTCTCAGATGCTGGAAACAAGTTATTTTGTGACTATTCTCTTATCAGGATAAAAGGTTAATTAACACGTCCAGGACTTTTCCGCCCGCAGGTTCATGTGTTTCCGTTCTCCTGCCTAAACTTTCCAGTGCTGGGTGCCATGTCTCTGCCACGCACGCTCGGGGAGTTGCAGCTCTACCGGGTGCTGCAGAAAGCCAATCTGCTGGCCTACTATGAGACCTTCATCCAGCAGGGTGGTGACGACGTGCAGCAGCTCTGTGAGGCTGCAGAGGACGAGTTTCTGGAGATCATGGCACTAGTTGGCATGGCCACCAAGCCGCTGCACGTGCGTAGGCTGCAGAAGGCTCTCAGAGACTGGGCGGCAAACCCTGCCCTCTTCAGCCAGCCTGTCGCCAACGTTCCCCTCGGGGGGATCCCTCTGTTCAAAGTTGACGGGACGGGCACGAGCGGAGCAGCTGGAAACAGGAAGTCTGTGAGTAACGGTCAGCCGGGGTCTCCCTGTGAAAGAGAGGATCGTGCATGTCTTACGCCGATGTACAGTGGGAGTCCAAGAAGCCCCTGCTCCCAGGCCTCGCCACAGCCACCAGATGCACACTACAGGGAAAAACTGTCCCCCATGGACCCCCACTGGCTCAGTCCGGAGCCTGATGGCAACAACGCTTTGGCTTCTGCATCTGGAACCGAAGAGGAGCCATCCAGCCCACCTAACCAGTCAACATGTCCTCCTGGTCCCTCCACATCTCCCGTCCCGTCTGCGTCCTTCGTCCCAGCAGCTCTGTCAGCCTGGCCCGGAGGACAGCTGGACAGGGAGACAGCCAAGGCTGTGGTGGAGAGTGTGGAGAGGCTCTTCAGGACCTTGCCCAGGTCGGATCCTACAGAGGTGAAGACTCTGTTGAGGATGAACAAGAAGATGGCAAAAACTGTGGGTCACATCTTCAGAATGGAGTCCCAGGAACCAAACAAGGAGGAGGAGATCCGCAAGTACAGTCTCATTTACGGACGCTTTGACTCCAAGAGGAGAGAAGGGAAGCAGCTCACACATCACGAGGTAACAAAACCTACAGCTGAGATCACCCTAATCTTCATGTGTTCATCCTGTGCTCATGTAAACACTAGCCTGGACGTGTCACTCCTTCATTCAGTGTTTCTCCTCACGCAGTTGATCATCAATGAAGCAGCAGCCCAGTTCTGCATGCGCGACAACGCTCTTCTGCTCAGACGGGTGGAGCTCTTTTCTCTGGCTCGACAGGTGGCCAGAAAATGTGCCTACACCTCCACACTAAAGCACGCAAGGTGAGGGAGCTGTCCGCAGAGGAGAACGCTGGGGAGCAGGACGTGACCTATTCAAACCTGGAGTATCCAATCCTGCCTCCAGGAAAAAATAAATAACATTTGACTCAGTCTGTAGAACCAAACTCAACTCATTCTGAGCACTTCCTGACACACATTAAAAACAGTAGATGATAATACTTTTGTAAATAAATAGTGCAGTAATTTACCTTCTTTACATGGTTTATGTGAACCTGGGGGGAAAAGTTAGCATCTTTAGCTTCTGCAGTTTTAGTTAAATATTATAAAACATTATCAATCTTTTTTTTTTCCACACTTAATTTTTTTTTTATCAGAATGAAATAAACTTGAGCTTTTTCTCATTAACGTCTAATTCAATTCAGTTTATTTATAAAGTCACAACAGAAGTCGCTTCAGGACACTGAACAGAAACATTCATATATAAAAATAATAATTTAACATTATTTATCTGAGGAGCTTTGAGTTTAACTCCATCACAGAACTCTCATCTTGAGCAAGCATGAAGGCGACAGTGGAAAGGAAAGACTCTTCATGAAGAGGAAACCTTTAGCAGAACCAGGATCAGGACAAGCAACCATTTGCTTCGACCGGCTGAGTTTGAGAGGAACAGATACACAATGGCAGGTCAAGAATCACATGTTAAGATATAAATAGTATCAAATTAAAAATATAAATCATTTAAAGAAATGAGGTCAATTTGTCCTCTAGCAGTCTAAGCTTAATAACAGCAGCATGACAAGACAACCCTAACTATAGGATTTATCATAAAAGAAAGTCTTAAGCCCAGTTTTAAAACTGGACCATGTGTCAGCCTCACGGACAGAAACTGGAAGCTGGTTCCACAAGAGAGGAGCCTGATAACTGAAAGATCTTCCTCCCATTCTGCTTTTGGAAACTCTAGGGACCACGAGTAAGCCTGCAGTCTGAGAGCGAAGTGCTCTGTTAGGAAAGTATGGAACAATAAGATCTCGAATATAAGATGGAGCTAGGTTTTTGAGGGTTTTGTAGGTTAGAAGTAAGATTTTTAATTCAGTTCTGGACTTGACATCAGTTGTATATTCAGTTTGAACAGTTCTTTGATCTTTTACTGTTCAATTCTTGACATAGTTTAAAGATTTTATTATTCCTACTATTAGGACTGTTTTATCAATTCTACATTTAAGTACAAGGCCTTCATAAAGAGAACAAAAAAAAATTTAAAGGAAAAATCTTTAAACTGCTTCACTAAATGGATTTAATGAACCATCAAAGTTTACGTTCAACATTTTATCCTGATTTTTTTAAATTTTTATTATATTCTCACTTTTTTCCATAACTCCTTCATCCATTTGCAAAAGGCAAATTATTGGACCATTCTGCAAATGTTGAGACACAGTTTAAATGGTAAAAATAAGAAATTTATTAAATGTGTGTATTTTTTTATTCTGCAGGTCAAATGCAGACGAGAACAGCGTTTTGTCCCAGAAGAGACCGAGACACGAGGTAAGATTTTACTGAAACATCAGCTGTTAACGACTCTCCACTTGACTCTCAGCGAGCCTCCGCTGTGTTTTAGGTGTTCGGTCCTGACGGAGTTTCATCGCTCCTCAGAGTCGAGGGATCGGAGAGCGCGACTCAGAGAGCAGATGACGACAGCTTGTCTGCTGAAAGCCTGGACTCTGTGTCACATGGTAAAGCTTCAAATCTGTATCATTTAGAGAAATGTCACATAAAGGTGACAGAACGCCTCTTTGCTCTGAGCTCTTGCTCACCGTCTCCTTCACTTGACATCGACCTCACCTGCTTTTTGTAAGAACGTAATCTAAAGTCGGATCTGCTTCTTTTGTAGACTCCAGCTCACAGTGCAACCAGTCTCCATCCCCCCGTCATCACTCCGACACCTCCAACCCTGCCAGCTGGAGTCGCCATCTCATACAACAAACTCTAATGGACGAGGGGCTGCGATTGGCTCGGATGGTGTCACATGATCGGGCGGGAAAACTCACCCTCGGGTCAGAAGGAGCTCACTCAACAGGTGACTTTTTAAAGACTGACTTACCTGTTTGTTGTGATCTTTTAAAGCTCACTAAGAAAATCCTACATGGAAGTTATGCCTAAAGATATAGTTCATATGTTTTGAAGAGGGGTTCTTTGGAAAGTTTATGAATAATGAATATCTTACCTGTTCTACATAGCGCTTTGAAGGAATCCAGTTTGGGGAAATGGAGTTTAATTGACAAGCCATTGTCTATTTTGCACAATACAGTTATTTACATAGATTTTATGGTTATTTGCAAGTGCAAACAGTGACTCCAGCAGCTGGCTGTAGCACTTCCTACACAGCCTGGGGTATTTCCTGCAAGAACATCACAAGATTTCAACCAGAATAACCATTTAATACACAGTAGCCCCTCGCTACTTCGCGGTTGGTTTATCATGGCGTCCCGGTTTTTCAAAATAAGATTGGACATGACACACGATTGGCTGATTGATGGATGAGCCGCACGATCAGCATGGAATTTTTATTTAAAATAAATTATTTTAAATTATTTAGCACCTGCTGCACATTTGTGCATCCCAGAGCTGCAGAAAAAAAAAGCTTTCTCTTGCATCTTTGTGCAGCCCATACTGCAGGATAAACTTCCTGCTGCAGCTGAACAGCTGTTCTCGAGCAGAGCGGAGAAGTGGGCGTGGCCAAGAGCGCTTGTGGCTGATAGCAGTGGAGGCAGAGAGTGGGTAATCATGACATTCTGTGCTCTTAGAGCGTTTAGAGTTTAGAAACATGGTTTAGAATATTGCAAGATTGT